GGAGAAAAGCCGTTTTCTAGTCACTCGTGTTGACTTCCTGGGATACAGCATCAGCTTCAATCAAATCAGCCCTTGTGACCGGCATGTGGAAGCAGTTCGCGAAATACCAGTTCCTCAAAACGCGAAGAGCTTGCAACGTTTTCTGGGATTGATGAGCTATTTCAGGAAATTTATCAAGGGATTTTCTACGATAGCTAGTCCTCTTTACGATCTTCTTAAGAAAGATGCTGAGTATTTTTTGGGAGCACCGCAGTTGGAAGCTGTAGAAAAGCTTAAAAAGTTGTTGATATCGCGTCCTGTGCTTTGCATATATTCTCCAAATACTGATACGCAGTTGCACACAGATGCGTCATCGCAAGGATTTGGAGGTATTTTGATGCAGCGTCAACGGATTGACAATAAATATCACCCGGTCATGTTTTTCAGTCGTAAAACAAATTCCGCAGAAAGCAAGCTCCATTCTTTTGAGCTAGAAACCCTGGCAATAGTATATGCGTTGAAGCGCTTTAGACACTATGTTACTGGTATTCCGTTTGAAATAGTAACTGACTGTAAATCCCTGAAGCAAACGCTGGAGAAAAAGGATATCAACTCGAAAATTGCAAGATGGGCCATGTTCCTCGAGGAGTTCAACTACAAGGTCGTGCATCGTTCTGGGGAGCAAATGCAGCACGTCGACGCCCTTTCAAGGATGTACGTTCACACAGTTGACTTGGCCAAGGACATCAATGAAGATAATTCGTTCGAGAACGCTCTGTACGTGGCTCAAATTCAAGATCCTGTCATCTGCGCATTGAAAGCATCAGCAACAAATGGAGACTTAAAAAAATACGAGGTTCGAGATAACTTGTTGTTCAGAAAGGAGAAAAACCGTTTATTATTGTACGTGCCTCAAGCAATGGAAGATTCTGTTGTATACCGATTCCACGACTCAATGGGGCATTTCGGAAAGGATAAAGTTATAGAATTGATCAAGCGAGCATTCTGGTTTCCAAATATGTTAGAAAAAATAGCTGAACACTGTAAAAAGTGTATATCCTGTATACTTTTTAATCCAAAAGCAAGGAAAAATGATGGTGTGCTTCAAAACATCGCCAAAGGAAACCGACCATTTTGGACTTTACATGCAGATCATTTGGGTCCGCTAGAGATGACGAAAGGGAAGAACAAGTATATTTTGGCGGTGGTAGATGGATTCACAAAGTTCGTGAAGCTGTACCCAACAAAAACAACCAACTCCAAAGAAGTAATGAAACATCTGAAATCATATTTCATCAACTACAGTACTCCAAGAATCCTTATCACTGACCGTGGATCTTGTTTTACATCGCAACCGTTCAAGCAATTTGCGGATTCCCATGGATTTTCGCATACTCTTGTAGCAACAGCATGTCCTCAGGCAAATGGCCAAGTCGAGAGGTACAATCGTACACTGCTTCCAGTATTGGCTAAACTAGCTGAGTCCTCTAAGACGATGTTGAGTATTTTCTCAACAATTCGATCAACCGAGGAACTGGGTCGATTCCATCTAAGCTGCTGTATGGAGTGCAACAACACCGAAAAATTAACCATGATGCCGTTCAATACTTCCAGGACCTGCTGGAGTCATCTGATCGGCTAAATCTGGAAGATGCACGGAACATGGCAGCCGAGTGCATACGAAAAGTGCAGGATTACAATAAGAAGTGTCATGATAGTAGAAGTCTCAGGACTACATTCAAGGAGAACGATTTGGTAGTTATTAGAAGTGTACCAGTAGTCGGGGAAAACAAAAAGCTAAGGCCTCGATTCAAAGGGCCTTACCGAGTGAAAAAGGTTCTTGATCAGAATAGATATATTGTGTCAGATATAGATGGGTATCAAGTGTCGACGAAACATTTTGAGGGAATTTTTGATCCACAGAATATGCGAATGTATAAGTCACATGAAGCTGGTAGTAGTTCGGATGTAGATCAAGAAGTTGAATCCGAAAGCAGTGATAGAGAGGATTAACGCTAGCTTTTATCTATTTCAGGACGAACATGAATTTGAATAGCATAACGACTGGAAAACGAAGATCAAACAATCATTTGTAACGCAGCATAGGGACTAGGTATCAGTGGGAGAAAAGTTCCGCAGGATGGCCGAGCTGTAGAAGAGAAAACATTCAGTGTAGTTATTACGGAGTTATTACCCCTCATTTCCATTTTCATACCCCTCACACATTTCAGTTTAGTGTCTGAGTAATAGCGCGGAGAAGGCGACTCCCACTCGAGGCAGACATTGTAAAGCTAGCTACGATCGAATACGGAAGCAAATAAATTCGTTTTAATTAAATCCTATAACATTGCCATTAAAAAGCATAAAACTTTCACTAATATGTTCTCACAATGATCTAATGTTCATGTAACTTCCTAACGTTTCCTAAATTTGCATGAGCCCCTCAGGACATTGCTGAAGTTTTCGGAAATTGCCTGAGTTTCTCGGAACTCCTTTATAATTTCAGCAATTTCATTGAAATTAATTGATCTGTCCTGATGTTCTCTGAGCTTAACTAAAGTTCCTGAAAACCATTAAACTTCCCTGAAGTTCTTTGGACTTGTGAAGTTTCCAAAAATATTTATTATGTTTCCTTAAGTTCACTGGAGTTCGCTGGACTTTTCTGAAATTGCCGGGCTTTCGAATTTTAACAGAAGTTTATTGAACTGTCTTTAATTTATCGAAACTTACAAAATAGTCTGGATTTTTTCTGAAGTTTCAGAACTTCTTAAATGTTCCTGCAGCTAGTGTGGATTCGCAATAAAAATCTGACCGCATCCTTGAGGTTCCGGGAAATTTGAAAAAAAAAACTGGCAGGAGAAGATGAAAGAATCTTTCTAGCAAAGGCTGAAGAAGCTTCCAAGGTAAGGTGGAAGAAAATTCAAGGGAAAGTTGGATGAAACTTCAGGAAAAAAAAAAAAAATAATAAAAACATCCGGAAGTTAAATAATGTTTAAAAAATATTTCTCGATTCCCTCGGAATTATCGGAAAGAGCCATCGACTATTTCTCGATTGATGGGTAGTCAAAAACGGCGTGGAAATACAAACATAAGTCGAAAGAGTATCAAGCATAAGGCATCCTTAGAGATGATTGTTTAGAATTTTAAAGGCTCAAAAAATATGAGGTACCCAAAAAGATACAAGTCTCTCACAAAAACTGTCTCCGGACAAATAAGAATAATTTTAATTATTTAAAAAAAAAATCGGTAAAAATCGGTATTCTAAGGAACCTTATCTGTATATCGGTATCTAGTTCGGAAATCGGTACAAATACCGATAAATCGGTATATCTGGCAACGCTGGTCACAGTGCACAATACAGTGTTCTCCACAAAGCAGCTGCTTGATCATGCCATAAGATTATGAATCTCTTAAATAATTAATAGCTATTTATTTGGACGTTTTGCTGAAATATGATATTGAGCAGAGTTGTAGCTATGGAGATTTCCCACAACAAAAGCTATCGAACTTTCACTCAGGGCAATATCGAAAAGACTAAAAGTCAATGAACAACATGCTTTTCGGCAAGTCAGTTTCTTTCGAAATGAGATCTTATTTTGGGAGGCTAATCAGGACCCGATTTGGAACCGTTTGTGTGCTGGGAAGCGAAAATTTCAAATTTTGTATCAGTCTAGTGGCTACTCATTCCTGAAAAGTGGGAAATGCCGGAAAAATTGGTAATTTCATTGTTCAATCTGGAATAGATTTTGTTGAAACTCCGTGCCAAGTGTGTCCATATGTTGTCTTTGTTTAAAAAAAAACACCCAACTGGCAGCCCATCCGGGTTTCACATGAATCGAATTGCGCGCTACTAGCGCTACTATATAGATAGGATAGTGTTCGTTCCTGCCCACCTCATTTTGCATTCGTTCGGTCCGTCTTCACTGTAGGTAGGTACTACACTAATTTCCAATGCAAATCACCATGCCATCGCATTTGCTCTATGGAACGACCGATTCGATGGGGTGGCAAGAGGCCGGCTTTGTCGTTCGCTCCGACGACGACGGGTGTGGTGGTGGTGTTTATCGCGATTCTCCCCCTGTGCTCCGTGCACGGGTGTGTTGGTGTGGTTTGTTGACGACGACGAACGATGACGCACATGCAAGGTCGTTGCGTACAAATCCAACATATCTGAAGGTCGTTGTGTCTACACATTAGCCTGGCACTTCTGTTGCTGCCACCACCACCACCACCACCATCACGACCAGCGCTCGTTGAGCGTTTCCTAGCAGTGTGCGGTGGGTGATGGAATGTGTTTGAATGGATCGAGTGAGACTCTGTAGTCTTTATTCATCTGATTCAGCTCAGCGAGTGTTGGTAATATGATGGTGTGGCGGTTGGTTGTTGTGTTTTTTTTTTTTATTCCCGTGCACCCGTGGATTTATTTAAACTCGGAAGAGTGAGCGAGTTAGTTGAAAGTACAGTAAGAAAGGTGAACGTGTGTGAGGTTGACGCGGACTCGGGATTCGGATCGGAATGGAATGGTAGCTAGAGCTAGCGAACCAGACTCTGTTTGCAACTTGTTTTCAAGTTGGGTGTCCGGGAATGAGGAGTTTTATTTTGTGTGTTCATTGGATTTTGGTGGTTGGTTCGGGGGGTTTCAGCATAAATAAACTTTGAAATGTGATATCCGCAGAGGATGGGACTTATTTTTTTTTGTGCAAGGTGTGTGAGTGTACCAAAAGTTTAGAATTCTTGGAAAACTAGGCAAACTGCTAGGAAGACCACCGTGCAATGTGTAGTGAGTAGGATTTGGCTTTTAATCTTTTGTTGTCTGGTTGGAACTTTGGAAGGTGGCAGTCTGATAAGAACGTTGGATAGAATTCCAGGTGTGGCGTAGAACTGTAAGACCTAGAGTGGCATATTTCACCGACATGTGACGTTGAATATCTTAAGACCCTTATTTGATAATGACCTTGACACATCCGGATGAATTCATGCATTGTGACTTATCTCGTTTTTTTTTATTTGACTCTTTCCAGAAATGATTTCTGCTTCCATATTATTGTCGTAGCATCGCATGTCGTGTTGTGTATGTGTGAAGAATAATTATCGAAGCAGCTAGCAGAATGACATCAACGGAGTCGCGAGGAAACGTCTCGGTAACGACGATCAACTGTGAGAATGATCCGAACTTCAATCCGACCAGCAACGTGAGCAGCATGATTCCGGCACCATCGGGAACCAGTTCCGGGAGCAGCAGCAGCAGCAACACTCCGAATGCCAGCACCAACAGTAGCGGTACGATTTTCGGAAACGTTGGTATCAGAATAACCGTGCCAAAAATGGAAGAATCCGACGAGTCTGATACAGAACTATCGAACATTGAAAAGACGGCCAAGGTCAACATGAGGGAGGATAGTCGCGCTAGCAAGGGATTGCCACGGCCTATGTCCTGGGAGGGCGAGCTGTCCGAACCGGAAGCGATGATGATCGACAACGAAAACAGTTCCAGTGGCCCCAGTGGGCCAGGGACGGTAGCCAAAACGGAGCCACTCGTAGTGGCCAAGGAAGAACCGACGGGGCCTGGCATAACGGAACCGCTGGCTCTGACCGCCAATCACAGTAGCAGTAGCTCTCCGCTTCCGAACCGAGTAATCAAACCGGAAGTGGGCATTCCGTTAATCAATCACAACGTGGCTTCCAGCTACGCCAATTCCATTCCAACTAGCAGTAGTAGTATTAACGCTAAGAAACTCCCCGATGTCATAAACCTCAAGTACGAACACGGGCTGGCCGAGAATCTTCCAGCAGTACATTCACCCCTCCTGGTACGCTCAAAAACGACCCTTCTTCCGGCCAACCCCAGTCCGGATTCTGCCATCCACTCCGTCTACACCCACAGTTCTCCGAGTCAATCCCCGCTCACCTCCCGACATGCTCCCTACACCCCATCCCTGAGTCGCAACAACAGCGACGCATCGCACAGTAGCTGCTACTCGTACAGTTCCGAGTTCAGTCCGACGCATTCCCCCATCCAGGGACGGCACAACATGTTCGCCAGTGGGTCCTACAACGGTTCCCCGCTACATCACTCAGTATTATACAAACCGATGATCGACAACGAACAGGCACTGAAACTTGCCAGCCAAGATGAGCCGGTCTTTGATAGCGAACATTTGCCGTCCCCGGGGATCTCCCGGCAGCAACTGATCAATAGGTTTGTACAGTTATTTTCGAGGCGTTTGGTTCGGACAATTCTTAATAATTGGTTTTTTTGCAGCCCATGTCCCATCTGTGGGGACAAGATCTCCGGATTTCACTACGGAATCTTCTCCTGCGAGTCGTGCAAGGGGTTCTTCAAGCGGACCGTGCAGAACAGGAAGAACTACGTGTGCCTTAGGGGAGCCGCCTGCCCGGTGACGATCGCCACGAGGAAAAAGTGTCCCGCGTGCCGGTTCGAGAAGTGCCTTCAGAAGGGGATGAAGCTGGAAGGTGAGTTTGGGGTTTTTGTTTTTAATTTAAGATGTGGGTTTTCAAATAGGGCTCCGCGGAGCATTTAGTGCTTTGCCAAGCTTCTACTTTGTGTTCTGTGGTATTTCTATGGAGCTTGATGTTTGATAAAGTGGAACATTCAAATACAGATTTAAGACGACGATTTTGGGTTGGTGATTATGCAAATGAAAAACATTGTTTAATCTCCAATCAATTTTGTTAGCTAAATGATAAACTATGAGAAACAAATTATATTAAACAGAATATACAATCTAGACCAACAATTGAAATAGGCGGAACAACCAAACGTAAACAATGGCTTTAAACACAAATTTCTCGAGAATCAAAATACACCCACACAAACTAACAATGCCATTCGACGAAGGAAGTTTTCTCTTTCAGATGCTGGTATTAGATTATGTGGATGTGTTTTGACTCTCGAGAAATTTGCGTTTAAAGCCATTGTTTACGTTTAGTTGTTCCGACTATTTCAATTGTTGGTCTAGCAAAGATAAACAATGTCTTACAGGAAATTGAATGACATGAAGAATTATTTTTATGGCAGAAGATTCCAATTGGAACGAAAACTTTAGGTATGGAAAATTAGAAATCCCCAAAGGGCAAGATGGGTGGAGAAAACAAAATACAATTCGGCAGCAGGGTTTTGTGTGTCAAATATGTTGCAACCTTGCACCAGACGGTAGCGTTTCACATGACTTTTCATTTCGATGAACGTGTAAAATAATAATTGTGTGCTTCGCAATATTTTGCTAATTTCTTGGGGCCGTTAATCAACCAGCGAAGATCAATTAATCAATAGAGTTGGGATATAATTTTTGAGCTTGAGCTTGATTGACCGCCCACGGTTGCTACTCTGTTACTGCCAGATCAGCTGTAATTACACAGAGAACCAATAGACGATGCTTGGGACTAGCAATCAATGTGTAAAAACTGGTGATCTCAAATTAGGCAATACCAGCGCCGGCCGCGCCCGAACACAGGTCAAGAAAGGAATGGGAAGGATTGTGTTGACATGACACTCGCTTTGATGGAAGCCGAGAACACCTCTGCACTTCCACGAGGAATCACTTGGGTTGGGTTTGCAGCAGGGTTCGTTTTGGTAAACGATAAGCTGAATTGATGTCCTAACGATCATATAACGCGAAGGAGCTTGGGACAAAACCCACGGTCTTCTGCTCAGTAAGCAAAAACGTTTGCCACTAGGCAGACGAGCACCCTTTTAATCACCGAGTTGCTGTTATTACCATGTAATCATATTAACAAATAAAAGATTGACGAATCTTGAATGTGGATGGGCCTGAGATTAGACTCATGATGTTCTGCTCAGTAAGCAAAAACGCACATAATACCGTTGCTCAAATTTGTGTATCCATTCAAACCCGGAACCAACGACAACAACGAGTTTCGCAAAATACACGATACACAAGCGATTTTACCATAAATCTCTTTGATATGTAAGGACCTGGGACCGCGTTTTTCTGCTCAGTAAGCAGGCCACTGTAACCGACGATCTTACTAAAAACTACGAAAAAGTACTTAGGCCTTCATTAAGTTCCACTTTCACGCGACGTTCAATGACAGGGTCCTATCCAGGATTACATCTGAAAAATCCAAATCTGGCCAACGCCCACCCTAAACCTAAACCTGTTCTAATCCACCTGAAATGACTAACGAATGGAAGACTTTGACTACCCATCCATGCAATAGTCTCATTCCGTGCCTTATGGCAACTTGATGATTCTATTGCGCTCATCTTTTGGCACCATCCAGGGGAGACTTGGTCCTGTACCCAATGCTTAACTTATCTCCATTCCACTCAGCTACTCGCAATTTCTTGTGATATATTGGGTGGAATATTATTATATGAGACAATTCAATGCAGACGTCTTTCCAAATTTGGTAGATCGACAGGTAATCGGTGAGTTACCACGATAGTTGCTATTCAGCAACTCGAAAACGTCCCATCGTCAACGCCTGCTATGAGAATTTCCCATTGCAGACGCCAACGAAATGACGTCATCGAGCTATCGATCAACTACCCTGGTTATCGCCTGGTACCTTATAGCACGATGCTAGGAGGCGAACCGGAAGAATCGATGAGCTACCTCTCCCCCTAGAGTTGGGATATAATTTTTGATTCCACAAACTAGTTGAATTTGAAAAGCACACGAAAAATAAAGATTGAATTTATATTCGATAACAACACTCTGTAGTTTGATCTAGTTAGAATATTAAATCCTATGAATATTTCTAATAGAAATTAGACGAATTCCATCCGCTTATCTCGCCCTCTGAAGATTTCTATGGAGACTGAAATAAATTTTGCAGATGATTTCATATTTTTCTTGATAAAAATAAAATCAATATTCTAGAAAATGTTGAAAGATTAATCTTTTAAAAATTCTTATAAGAAAATGCTTTGAAGTCTATTAACATTGTAAAATGTGCTTACTACATAGAACTTGAAAATTCTTTTTTTTTTCATTTCCCTAAAAATAATCTGTTGTTTTTTTCAAGTCTTCGAGTCGATTTTGAAATCTTTGAAGCCCCAGAATTTCATATTTGTACTAAACCTCAAATCCGTAAATTATTGTTAGCTTAAGATTTGGATTATTTCAAGGTCTAAGTTTTGATTTCTGTTTAACACGTTGAAAAACCTTGAAAAACTTGGAAAACCGATAAACTTCAGGGAATTTAATTTTACCTGAAAAATCCTGTAATTCTCAGGGAATTTTGAAATTCTCGTATCAAGTAATTCTGGAGTGGATTTACCTTCAGTAACAACGTGCATTCTGAAACTAGAAATGTTTTTTTTTTTCTGGGGTCTTGAGACATGAATTAGACGAAAAAAAATTAAATTGTTCTAAATACCCGGACCTAACAAAATCAGACTTGGAGAAATTTTCAAGAATCTGGAAAGAAAATAAATATTCAAGACGTTGAATATTTTCAAAGAACCCAGATTTTATTTTTAAGGTTTCACTGCTTATGAACTTTAATGAATGAATTTGACGAGAGTCTCCAAGGAAATCCAAGGGATAAGGACATCCAGAGGAGAATTCCAAGGGAAGAATTGTTAGGAAAATTGAAGTGGTATTTGCGGATTTCTTTCATGTTAGTTTTGTTGATCTCCAGATGCCAGGTGAAACGTAAGGAGCATTAAAAAGTAGTTCTGAGTATAATCATAACAGAATTGTAAGTGGGATTGAATGTAAAATTTCAACAGAATTCTGTTGATGATTCCAATGTAATTCCAAAGAGAATCTTATCTTATCTTATCTAGTTGAAGATGCTAATTTCAAATAACAGACTAAAGTGGTAATTTTTATACGATAGATGGAGGAGATGATAATCGTATCTATCGTATAAAAAATATCACTTTAGCCTGTTATTTGAAATTAGCATCTTCAACTATGTAAATCGTTGACTTCACGCAGAAGTAATACTAAACATATAGTCAAAGTTATCTTATCTGCCGTCGGCTGGTTCATCTCTACCAAAGAGTCCAATTGAAAGGGAGCTATGAGGAGAACTACAAGGTTCTTGAGGGTAGAATTCCAAAAGAGGAAGGAGAGTCCAATGAAAATTCTGATAAGAATTCAATGAAAATTCTGAGGATAATTCCAAAGGAATTTTGAGGATTGTTTCATTAATGTTTAGAGCTAATGTTTAAAGGAATATTCCTTTAATATTTTTTAGAGAACTCAAAGAAGTATTAATTATTTTTAGAGAACTCAAAGAAGTATTAATTTTGAGGATCATACTGAGGGACTAATTTAAGAGAATTCTGTGGGGAATTTAGAGCGAATTCCGATGACAATCGGAATTCGCGGATAATATTTCGTGAATACTGAGGAGAGTTTGTTTCAGGAGAATTATTTGGGGATCTCTTAGGTAATACAACAAACGTAATTTAGAATTCTAAGAGAGTTTCAGAGTGAATCAAAGAATAGATAACTTCTAGAGTATTATTGAGCGAATTGTAAGGGATTTTTTTTTAATTTTGAAGTTTTTTAAAGATTGTGAACCTAGATAAATTTAAAATAACTTTTAGATTTTGCAAATTGTTTGTTTTCATAGACTTAGTAAAAAAGCTATAAATCGACGTTAGTAAAACAAATTATTGACTCCTGGAATTAGATTTCTCTTCGTTTAAATATTACTAGTCCATTCAAAAAATTGCACTTCCTTACGCCCTTGGTTATTCATGTTTGTTATCAACATAAAATGTTGCCATAATCAAATGAGGTACACATGGAAAAAATAATACTTAAGGAGATCTTTTGTTGTGAAAACAACAGCATTTATGTTAAAAATTAAATTTTAAATTCTGAAATATTCAGTACCCATTCGATTGTGGCAACCAGCCCGAATGATTAGTGTTGCCAAACTGCCAAAATAAAACGGATTTATGTTGAAATTTAATTTATTATTTCGTTTATTTTGGACCATAGACGTTAAATAATTAATCTTTTATTTAAAATTCTAATCACAAGGGACAAAAATACATTATTTTCAAAATCGGTTCGATTTTGGCACGGTGCCAAAATTGAATCCCATGCCAAAGACAAACGGTTTTGTGATTTTGTTGCCAAAATTGAACCATGCTAATATCGAAAGGGTACTGTATTGATTCAAATTATGGTAATTCAAACTCTATACATTTGCAATTTTATCTGTGTATGACATTTTTTTAGAAATGAAGTTTTCTAATTATTTTTTTCGGTATAGAATCTAGAATTGGTGTCTTTAAAATCCTGGAAACTTTCCGCGGAAGTCTTCGAAAATCCTGGAAAACTCAGGGAAATTTTATCAAAGCCTAATGTCTTATCGAAGTCTGAGACCTCGACTTTCATTTTGAGATTCAGGATCTTGAAAAATGTATCTGTCTGGGATGTCGATTATTTTTCAAAGCCCCAGAATCATGAAACTTTTTCTATGCCACAGATCTTGATAGTTTTTTCCAAGATATGTTTAATCAAAGTCTGGGATTTTAATGTTTTATGAAATTAGGATTCTAAGTTCAAAATATTTTCAATGTCCTAAAATTTTGAAAATTTTGGCGAGTTCAGCATCTCGATGAAAAATCTACAACAATATTTTTTTTAATCTAACCTAATGTAATCTAATGCAAACGCACCCTGTGCAGAAAGCATCCTGGGAAATGATTAAGTTAGATATAGCTCATGCCATGCATTTTTAGACTACTGAGAGGATCGTAGTTGACAGGTATTTTTTCCTCAATCATCGTCTCAGTGAATGATCGGTCAAATTGCAATAAAACACAACAATATCCCATGATTACGCAGGAAATTATTAAAACATTTTGACTCGAGAATAATCATAAAATTAATGTATCCCGTATTTTGTATCAGGTCTATTGATTATCTGTACCACCATGTCTGATATCTTGCTGCAAGTTTCGCAGAAGCGGGCCTCGGTGAATACAGCATATCATGCGCTTTGCGGATACTTTTTCCTTCGTCTATCCAAAGATAAGCTTGCAATCATCTATCACCATTTCCAAATGAATTTCCACGTATCAACAGAACGGATGTTTGTCCCGAAAGGAATACGAACGCGAAGTGAAAAAATTTGGTGTATATAAGCGGACATGGCTGGTTGAATTGTATCGCTGCAAACCGATTCTTTATCTGGACGAAGCAAAGCGGTTGTTTGAAGACGCGTTCCGGATCGCCATTTCTGCATCAGGGAAGGGCTTAGCTGGAAAGCACTCGAGAGACGAGCTATTCAAATACGTAGCGAAGACGTCGTCCGGTTTGCCTCAGATGAAGTTAGTTTTTATAATAGGTCAATGTTTAGATCTAGAAGATATGGAGTAAGAGGTGAACGTTTGATTTGCAGGGGTGAGTTTGTCAGAAAACGCATAATGTCACTGTTATGCTTCATTGGACAAGACGAATTAAATGAAGCATTCTCGACAGAAGGGACTTTTAACATAGCAATTTTTTTCGAATGCTGTAGAAAATTTGCTTTGGAATCTGGAACGGTTCAGTGCTACCCTGGGTTCCATTCTGTTTGGATTATTGATGGTGCTACAATTCATTGCGACGCTGCGATAATTTCCTATCTCCGGTCATTGGGCATTTATGCCATATTCCTGCCATCCTACTGCCCTTTTTTCAATCCGATAGAATTTGTATTTGGGATGATCAAACGGAAACTGAAGAGGACGTATCAAGAACTCAGAAAGTGCTACGTTCGGCTCATTTCAATCTCGCGAGCGAGGCTCCATCAAGCCTGATCGTAGTACCGTTTCTTCTTCATAACATACACTAAACATCATCTGAGACTCCATCATAAACAAGGTGACCGATTCTTCCGGTCCCACAGGAGAAAACACTAAACTTTCGACGGAACCGACAACAGTGGAAAAGCGAAACACAGCTATTATTCGCTTGGCCATTAGATTCTATATTCGTGCACTTTTATAGAAAAAAAAATTATGAGTGGCAGAGCACCTCCAGCCAATAATTGAGAAAAAGACGAACGATTTGACAACTGTAAATTATTTACAACCGTTTAGAAGCAGGGCACACTTCGATCCCGCAATAGCATGATAGCATGATAGTGGTTTACCACCCATTGTAGCACGGAAACTAAGTCCGATAGCAGTGGGCTCTCTTCTCTGTTTGTCTTGATCAAGCTTAATAACCTCTGATTGTCCTCAACATGTCGCTGTATGAAGGGCCAAAAACGGATTGGGTAGATCGATAGACAAAGTCGCCTATACGCATCTACGGAACAATATAGAATCTCCTTCCAGCAACTTGATCAGTCAATTGGTCAAAGAGACAAGCCCCCAAACAGGAAGATGCCTCAATGAGTGGGGAGAAGAGCCCGCCCATTATCCACGAAATGTTATCAACAGGGAGTTGGCGATCCCACTCTCCCCGTCCAAATCGCTTCAATCGGGTGCCCTGTTGGACCGTCCCTTCCCTTTTATTTATGTATTTCAATCAGTGGCGTCGCCTTAACCTCAATCTACCTGTGCAACAACTCTCAAAACAAACACAATTATCAAAATATTGCTTCCAATGGATAGATTTCGAGTAAACTAGAAGATTAAAAGTATTTTTCAACCGATTCAAGTGTGAATAGGGCAATAAATCTAGTTTTGAAAGTTGGTGCACTCAAAAACTGAAAATCATGTATTATTAAAGTGCGATCAGCTCAAAATTTTCCTTAGTCCTGGATCATTAATATGTTTTGTTAAAGTCTCAAATCTCGAGGAAAAATCCTTAGTGCAAACATTTTGATTCTTTTTATTAGTAGAAGATCTTGAACATTTTTGCACGTTCCAGAATCTTAAAATGTTTCCAAATCTAGAATTCGAAAACCTAAGTTCGGGATGGCAATAATTTTCCTGTCCCGGAAGCTTGATTTATTATGCAGTGCTTTCAAGCATTTGGCAGCCCTTTCTCAAATTTTAGGCTGACAAAAACGGGTAACTGACTAAATCGGGAATTTTTTCCCCATTATTTATTCCATCAAAATTATTACGGAATAATTAAATTGTTATACGTTTGACTATTATTTGTGAAAACTGCGATAGATGGTAAAGAAATATGTGTAAACTTTCATAGCAGAGAAAATGTGGGTGTGTGGGTGTTTAGCCTTATACCCCGTATAGACTATGGCTTATATCATGTAATATAGTCTGTCTTGCAATGAGCTGAGCACTCATACATAAGATTTCCAGTGAAAACTAGATGTATGAGTGCTCATTGCAAGACAGCCTATATTACATGATATAAGCTATAGTCTGTACGGGGTATTAGACTGGTTCGTCTCAAGATTTTTTTTTATTTTTGAAATGTCTATGATCTTCAATCTAGAATTTTTAAATATCAAAGATCTTCAGAAAAAAAAGTTGGTAATCTTTAGAATTTGCCTAAAATAATGTTTATTATAGGACTTGACGGCTTCTGCACTTATTTACCTGTTATCGTCTGAGGTTAAATGACGCCTTAGAGTATTATTTTTTGGCAAAACGATGCTCTGTAATGTGCTGCATCTTCATGCAAAAAAGCAGCACTCAATTTACCCCCATTTACCCCCTGACAATAGGTAAGGAAGTTCCCCTAATTTTAATAATTTTGATGAGTAAATTGTGTTTTGATTTCGCAAAAAGTTTTTTTTTTCAGATACAATTTTAAAGTACACTCTATCACTTTCCCTCATTCGGCTTAATGACTCATTTATCCAAATGATTTTCGGTCGTTTTGTCTTCAAATGAAGTGCTCCGTTAGTGTTTTGGATCTTTAAATGTCCTCTGTAAATGGAAAAGCTTTAAAAGTACGATCAAATCATTTTCTGGAGTTTAAATTTGTTTAAATCTCAACGGAATTTTAGTTTTAATAGAGCACTACAGTGGACTTTCAGCTTCCTCGGTAATTTCAGAATATTGAATAAACATTCCAGATGTTCTTCTGGACCATGGACCACAGTTTTGAAGACATGTCTTAATAAGAAGTCTTATTATGATAAATGTTACCAAAATCCGTTTTATTTCATTGATGGATTTTTTTTTCTGAATTTACTTTGGACAGGAGTTGACTAAAATCTCCGATAAGCAGAAGTTCCCTTTATTTTTAACGAAAATCCCTGGAGTTTTAAGAAGTATTCTGAAATTATTCGTTATTTTCTAAGCTTCTACGAAATTCCCTGAACTTCTACAATAATTGTATATACAGGGTGCAACAATTTCATGAGTGATGTTGCAACAGTGTCCGAGCTTTGTGCTCCAGAAAACTTGAAGTGATAGGGCATATTATGACGGCCATTTTTGAACTCTTCCTGGAATCACGTTAAGCTTCTTTCAACACTGTTCTTGATAATGTCTCCAAATGAACTCAGCACCAGATCATCTGATTTCATCAATTTGCCTAACGCTAACAAAATATTTATGGATCTTAATTAAGTCATGGATATTCACATAGTTTTCACACATTCAAGATTGATCTGTAAAATCCATGCTTAAATGCTTTCTCAGATAAGATGTTTTTTAATATCTGGATTTCTTCTATCGTGCATTTGCCTCCTTTTATATTCGTGTATCATCATTTTGTTACATTAAGAAAACCGGTTATCGTCAACGCTCAGAAAATACTAAATTCCATTTCCCCCCCTTTCTTTACAGCCATTCGCGAGGATCGCACCCGTGGCGGCCGGTCGACGTACCAGTGTTCGTACACGCTTCCGGGAACAATACTCAGTCCCTCGCTGGCGGGCAGTGATGGCAGCAGCAACTTTCCGTACTCCAATCCCTCCGCCAATCGGGGTGGTCCATTTTCTTCCGGCGGTGCCGTAAATCTAGCCGGCCAGCAGCTTAAGATCGAATCTGGCCAGCAGGACTTCCACAGCAATTCCAACGGCAATGGTGGCGGTATGTCGGCGGGCGGCGGTGGCTTCACTGGTGGCGGCAACCACATGCGACCGGGCATTCCACAGCTATTGCAGGTGGGTATTCTAAGTGATTTTCATAGAAATTCCAAGCTTGCATGGATGGAACTTCTGCAGGAAATCATGGACGTCGAACATCTGTGGCAGTACAATGCGGCTGAGCTGGCGCGGTTGAATCAACCGGCGCCCCCGGTGAGCAGTGCAGCCATCGCAGCCAATCCGCTGCTCTCCAGTGCGGGCATTTCGAGCGAAAGCAGTCCGGATTTGATAGCGAATTTGTGCAACATCGCGGATCACAGGCTGTACAAGATCGTCAAGTGGTGCAAAAGTTTGCCCCTCTTCAAGAACATCTCGGTAATTATAAACGACACAGCATTGAGGTTAGGTTTGTGCTAAATTTGAATTTTTGGTTAATGAAGATTGACGATCAAATCTGCCTGCTGATAAACTCGTGGTGTGAGCTGTTGCTTTTTTCGTGCTGCTTCCGGTCCATGGCGACTCCCGGTGAGATCAAGATCTCCCTCGGGAAGTCCATCACGTTGGAACAGGCCAAACACAGTGGGTTGCAGGTTGGTTCTTGTGACATAGTCCTAAACATTTCTGAATACTCATACATTCCTACCGAATCTTTTAGACCTGTATTGAACGAATGCTCAACCTCACCGATCACCTTCGAAGGCTTCGGGTCGATCGTTACGAGTACGTGGCCATGAAGGTGATCGTCCTGCTGTCGTCGGACACGTCGGAACTGAAGGAATCGGAAAAGGTTCGTGCCAGTCAGGAGAAGGCCCTCCAAGCCCTTCAAGCGTACACGTTAGCGCACTATCCGGAAACGCCGGCCAAGTTCGGTGAACTACTGCTACGGATTCCGGAACTACAGCGGACCTGTCAGGTAAGTTTACTAAGCGGATTGAAAGACTTCAGAAGTCAAACTGATTTGCAGCTTTCGTTCCAGGTTGGCAAGGAGATGCTAACAATCAAACCGAAGGATGGCGAAGAACCGTCCTTCAACCTGCTGATGGAACTACTCCGAGGGGAGCATTGAGCGAATATTTCGCTCGAGCGAAAGACAAACAACTGATCGTGCCTCATAAGTTCTAGTGTTTTTAGACGAAAAGAAACAGTGCCCCAATAAGTAGCCGCGCTTTCGACGTCGCGGGCTAGAAAATGGGATTGATCAAAGTAGGCGCGGGAACGCCTTAGGTCATCATTCTATCACAAACACTCACGCATTCACAGCTCTCTCTCTCTCTGTCTTTCTTTCCCCCGTTTCCCATCCATCTGTCTTTGCAAGCGAGTGCGGCAAACATCGAAGCATGCGAACGCGAGCCTGCTTCAATTTTTTGTTTCTAGCCAAACTAAACAAAAGTGAACCGAAATCAAAACTCTTTTTAGACATTGTGATTTTAATTCCTAATCTGATAAGTAGAGCGAGTTTATTTTATTCTTTTTTACGTAGTTTTAGCCAGATATTTAAAAGATTTTTATTTTTCCTGCCTACGATTTTTATATTTGTCTGTTGCAAGAAGATTTTTTTTTATTTAAACTACTCATATGTAATATTTTTTTAACGGAAATCATTCATAATCGTTCAAAACGTTTCCCAGCAGAGTTAAGTTTCGTTTGTACACTGACTCGCAATCCCTTTGAAAAAGATTTGTAATGCTATACACATACCCATTAAGTTTCCTTATAGAATTTTAAGCAAGAGCTCATAGATAAGTTGAAATTTCCCTTAAGCAGAGATAAGATTAGTAGACAGTAGACATGAGTAGTTTTTTTTTTTCATTTTTACACCACTAGACACAAAACGAATGGCATTGTATTGTTGATTGATACAAGTTTCTTGTTAAGTTACGCTTTTTTAGGAAGATTCGAGAAGTGTTTAAGTTTTCCCGATCGCCGTGTGCGTGATTCGCCTTCGAGGATGGGCGGAGCATGGATAATACGCTTTATTTCAAATACAATAAAAGCGTTCAAAGCTGAGATAAACATTGTTCATAAGTTGTAGCAGTTAAGAAATCGTGTCATCGAAAGATCTTCAACTTTAACGTTAAGATAGGCACAATTCCATCTCACACTTGGAAAACATATTTCCCCCCTCATCACAAATCAAAACAAATAATGGTTTCCAACTTTTTCTCACTGCATAGTGAAAATAAAACTAAGACACACATACACACACAGACACACTCCATCGCAGCAACCCGTTCTGATCGATATAACGCGATTATATCGCTATCGGAGACTAGTTGCCATGGTTACGTAGGAAATCATCAGCAAACACTACACGGAAAGAATTTTTTCTAGCTACATTCATTTCGAAGAAAAAATGAGGAAAAAGTGTGCCTTTTTCTGATAACAACAAGAAGGAAAAATAACAATTTTTGCGATAGCGTAAGATTATTTTATATACCGGAGCATAGTAAACTGAAAGCAGAAAAACCGAATAAAGTAGTAACAACTAGTAAGCGTAAATGACTGAACTTTTTAGTCTAGTGTTAGTTAATGAGTATATACTGCGAGCAAAACTCTCAAAACGAAACGACCACCTTTTAGACGAAATGCACAGAACAGCGGTGGTGGTCGTTCATCTCGGGGAGAACTTTTTTGAAACGTGTTTTTTGAGATCCGAATTGAAGTTTAACGTAAATCTTTGATAGTTGCAATATACAACAACCAAACACCGAGAATCAACGGATCACCCTTTAAAACAATTAGCTTAAAGTGAAGGAGGTCGCAAAAATGAGAGTAGAACAAAAATTGTTTATATTGTATGTGGAGTGCAATACTGTTTTATTTTCTAAATGTGTAACTTCCAAACTGAAAAAAAACGTAAACAATTTTTGGAGGGCATTTCCAGCTTTTTTTTTATAAACTATGAAGCACACAAGCAACAAGTGTGTAAACCAATTAAGATTTCTGTGAGAGCGAGACGTGCTTTCATTTCTTAACGTTTTTAGGAAGGAATATCCAGTCCTTTTTTTTCAGTGTAAATATTGTTTAGAAACTAAAAATCTTTCAAGAACGAAGAAAATGTTTTCCAAGAAAATATGGAAATTTGTGATGATTTAAGTGTAAACCTAAGTACTAGCGTAAACAAAATGCAACCGTTACGAGGAAGAAAAAGAAAAACAAAACATCTAGCAAAATATACAGCTACTTAAAATGAAATCGGAAGCATGGAGCAGCGCAAAACGATAAAGAAGAAGGTAAAACAAAAATCTAAAATGGAAAATTGCAGTATTTTTAGGAACGTACTTTTTTCTACTCGAACCCTGTTGAAAAATCCGTAACTGTTTTTTTATAACTATTATGATAAATGTTTTTTTTTTGCGTTGCCAAAACGTGTTTTTAAAAACTGAAATCATCAAAATCGTGAAACAATACTTCAATAGCGATACTTTTTATCCTTATACAAACGGCAGACACACACACACATACACACACACTCACACTCACAAACAAACACATTATATTATTGTACTTAAACGAATTTTTAGAATTATTATTTTGTGTTTCGGAACCGCCGCGAAGAAATCCCCTCCCAATTTAAGCAACATTCTCTCTGTGTCTATTCGTGTGGGTGACTCGGGTCGATTAGTAACTAATTGGCCCCGGTCGCCGTTTCAGAATGGGAGCAAAATTGAATATTTTTAAAATAAATATCAGTTTATAACGTACCGCTAGAGAGTGAATTGATGATCCGAAATTCCTACCCGAACTATGGGGTTTCTTGCAGAAGTGTTACGGTGCCAGGAACGGTTCACAAGCGGATTTTTACTTTCTTTAACTGTATACAATGCATTTAAACGTATCCACATTACAGAATCTGTATATGCAGTGATTTATTACAGATTCTGCTTTTCGTTTAAAGAAAACTGTAAGATTACCTCACGTCCTCTGGTTGACGAGCATTTATGGATTGTTATAAGAACCCTGCAATTTAATTGTTCTAGATTTGAAAAGAAATATGGGTTTTTCGATGACTTACTACTTAATTAATTTTGTAAAGACTTTTGAACTACAAATGTCGCAGGTCTATTTTTGAAAAGTTCTCAAGTCTCGAAATATTATAATAGTTTCATGCAGGATTTGTTTTCTTCTAATTCCATGAAAAATGGAAACAGCCGTAGACATTCCAAATATATACTCCAAAGAAGCCCAGAGAGCTCGCAGGAAAGTTTGTAGGTTTGCCAGAAAAAAAGTTCGAATGAATTCTACTAGCCAGTTTAAAGTTGTTTTAGTTAAAGTTAGAATATCCTTCCGTCAGAGAAATTGGAGCTACCTGTTTTGGTCTGTTCAAGATTTTATAAGTCGAAGTTTTCTGAGGTAAGTTCAAAATACTTACTTAGGAAAGGACGAGTTTAGCTATCAACCGTTTTCAAGGTTTTAGCTGAATGTGTACTTCTGTATAGCTGCAATTTATTGTTTCAGTTTGGTTTAATCCTTGGGGGCTCGAATTCTTGAAAGCTAGGGTAACCAACTGATTTTGGACCCTTAGAGGAAGTGAGATCACGTTTATGTCAAAATAATATTATTTGTTTATTATTATTATGCAATTTACATGCGGTTGTGTTCGAAAGCTACTCATCTTGGATGTAAAATGTCACTAGATGTTTTATTTATTGATATATACTCGAGAAATAATTCTTTTCACATCATGATATTTACATATTTTAGACCCTTCCACTTGATTTTGGACAGTGTCCATAATATATTTTGGACACACTGAATGGGAACGAATATATTTTGGACATGCTAAAGTTCTTTCAACCTATGAGCCTAAAATTAATTACGACGGTCACTTCTTCCTATCTCGCATTTGTTAGGTCCGTCTAGGTGGGAACATTTTCAAAGAAGGTGCCGTAAAACGGGGTGAAATTGATCAGCGGGGTGAATTTGATCGCTGAGTATACCCAATATTGTACTTATGCATAATATTTTTACAATGCATACAAAGATACATTCGTACGCTTAGTAACGAAAAACATGTTACACATGAAAAAATATCACGAGAAATTTCAGCGATCAATTTTGCCCCACTGATCAATTACACCCCGTTTTACGGTATGCATAAAAGTTAACCCCCCGTTACTCGCGCTGTTGTACTTTGTACAACACATATGAGTTTTCCATTGCCATTTTGTTGCTGCCAATCGATCTGAAACCAACTTGTATTCCTCAAAAAACTTGTTTTGAACTAAAAAAGCTAAACTTTGATTACAATTAACCCCCAAAATGCGGATAATAGAGAAAATGTAAATGGAAGCCGCAAAAACGGTGTCCATACTACGTGGGATTGACTTAATTGGTTACAACATGGAATATCTCGAGATCCTGACCAGATAGAAAGTTACTGTCTTGGGCAAAGTTGTTCAGGAGGTTAAAGCCTTTTTTTAGTGTACAATAGTTCAGAATTATCTCACTTCGTGGTGCTAGTATACATGTGAAATTCTCGTGTATAAAATATCGCTAGATCCTGACCAGATAGAAAGTAAATGCCTTCAGCAAAGTTGTTCAGGAAGTCAAGCTCTTTTCGTTGGTTGACTAGTTCAGAAATTTCACATTACGAGGCACTAGTATATACGTGTAATTTTCGCATATACAATAGCTCGAGTTCTTGACCAGCTAGAAAGTTACTGTATTGAGCAAACTTGTTCAGGGGGTCAAAACTTTTCGACTGGTAGACAGTAGTTCGGAATTTTCTCACCACGTGGCGTTTATATACATATACACTCCTCGCATATGATATATCTCGAGATCCTGACCAAATAGAAAGTTACTGTCTTTGAAAAAGTTGTTCAGGAGGTCAAAGCCTATTGCTTGGTGTAGAATAGTTCAGAATTTTCTCACTATGTAGTTCTAGTATACACGTTAAATTCTCTCATATAAAATATCTAGAGAGCATGACAAGATAGAATGTTACTGTCTTGGGCAAAGTTGTTCAGGTGATCAAGGCCTTTTGGCTAGTGGACGGTAGTTCAGAATATTTCACTTCATGGTACTAGTATATACGTGCAAATCTCGCATATGATATATCTCAAGACCTGCTAAAAATGTACTGTAATCGGCAAAGTTGTCCAGGCAATCAAACCCTATCGTTGGTGGAAAGTACATAATTTTCTCACTAGGTGACGTTGAAAGACACGTGAAATCCTTGCATATAAAATATCTCTGAATGACCGGCATACTAGTGCCACGTAAAGGGAAAATTCTGAATTACTGTACACCAACGAAAAGATCCTAACATCCTGAACAACTTTGCCGAAGACAGTAACTTTCTGTCTGGTCAGGATCTAGAGATATTTTATATGCGAGAATTCCTCATGTATACTAGCGTTGCAAAGTGAGAAAACTCTGAACTTAAGTCCACCAGCAAAAAGGCCTTGACTTCCTGAACAACTTTACCGAAGACAGTAACTTTTTATATGATCAGGATTTCGAGATATTTTATATGAGAATTTCACGTATATACTACCACCATATAGTGAAAAAATTCTGAACTATAGGCTTTGAACTCCTGAACAACTTTTTCGAAGACAATAACTTTCTATCTGGTCATGATTTCGAGATATATCACATGCGAGAACTTCACATGTATACTAGCGCTATGTAGTGAGTAAATTTTGAACTACTGTCCACCAGCAAAAAGGTTATGATCTCTAGAACTACTTTGGCAAAGACAGTAACTTTCTATCTGGTCAGGATCTCGAGATATTCCATGTTGTAACCAATTAAGTCAGAACCCTCGTAGTATGGACACCATTTACGCGGTTTCCATTTACATTTTCTCTATTATCCGCATATTTTGGGGGTTAACTGTAATAAATATTTAGCTTGTTTAGTTAAAAGCAAGTTTTTTGAGGAATACTCGTTGATTTCAGATCGATTGGTAGCTCGGCTGCAAAATGGAAATGGAAAACTCACACTGTTGTACAAAGTACAACGCGTGAGTACTCGTGTTACAAAAGTTGGCGCGATTAACGGAGGAAATATAATATAACATAAAGAAACAACTGATCATACCATAAAAAAATCATTCAGAAGTATATCTTAATACGGAGACCTGACTCTATGCTTGCAGTCCATATTATTTTTTGTATGGGCTGTTAATAAACTACGTAGACCGTTTTTGAGAGATTTCAACCCCCCCCCCCATTTTCTAGTGTGTGGCCGATTCAATTCCACTTGCGTTAAGGAAATTCTGTTGATATGTGTTGTAGATAGAGTTAGTGTGGAATAGAAATGAGTAGAATCGAGTGCGCGTGAAGCGTGATAGACCGTATGTAAACAGAATTTGGTTGGCTCGGGAATTTTGATACAGCTAGAGGTATAAATATGAGGTACCTAAGCTCGTTGACGGGATTCTTATGACGGACTGTGGAGAGAGCGGACGACCAGCAAAGGACCACCAGCAGAAGGGATAGCGGCACTAGCGGACCAACAGAGGGAGCAGCAGATTCGTGGAACCGTGACTACATCGGACCACCAGCTGAACGACAGATTCATGGAACCGTATCCGAGGCTGGAAACCTCGGTCCAGTCACGAAAATGGCGCAACTCGGTAAGTGAGAACCATCCTCTTTCTTGCGAGGATGCTACTGGCGCTCTCTGAGAGGGCAGTTGAAATCCCCCTGAGAGGGTAGATGAAATTCCCCCCAAGAGGGTAGAAGAAATTCCTCCTAAAAGGTAGAAGAAATTCGTCAGAAAAGGTAGAAGAAATTCCTCCGAGAAGGTAGAATAAATTCCTCTGCGAAGGTAGAAGATATTCCTCAGAAAAGGTAGAAGAAATTCCTCCGAGAGGGTGGAAAAAATTCCTCCGAGAAGGTAGAAGAAATTCCTCCGAGAGTGTAGAAGATGTTCCTCAGAGAAGATAGAAGAAATTCCTCCGAAAAGGCAGAAGAAATTCCTCCGAGAAGGTAGAAGAAATTCCTCCGAGAGAGTAGAAGATGTTCCTCAGAGAAGGTAGAAGAAATTCCCTTGAGAGGGTTGATAAAATGCCCCGAATCTCAATTAAGGAGAGTAGGAGAGGGGAAGAATGTAGTAGATAGAGTTAGTGTGGAATAGAAATGAGTAGAATCGAGTGAGCGTGAAGCGTTATAGACCGTATGTAAACAGAATCTGATTGGTTCGGGAATTTTGATACAGCTAGAGGTATAAATATGAGGTACCTAAGCTCGCTGCCGGGGTTCTTATGACGGACTGTGGAGAGAGCGGACGACCAGCAAAGGACCACCAGCAGAAGGCATAGCAGCACTAGCGGACCAACAGAGGGAGCAGCAGATTCGTGGAACCGTGACTGAGGCTGGAAACCTCGGTCCGGTTACTACATCGGACCACCAGCTGAACGACAGATTCGTGGAACCGTGTCCGAGGCTAGAAACCTCGGTCCAGTCACGAAAATGGTGCAACTCAGTAAGTGAGAACCATCCTCTTTCTTGCGAGGATGCTACTGGCGCTCCCTGAGAGGGCAGTTGAAATTCCCCTGAGAGGGTAGATGAAATTCCTCCAAAAAGGTAGAAGAAATTCCTCCAAGAAGGTAGAAGAAATTCCTCCGAGAAGATTGGATAAATTCCTCCGAGAAGCTAGAAGAAATTCCTCCAACCGGGTAGAAGCAGCATTCGGGATCTAGTTGAAGGGCGGGCTAGCACGAATTAGTGTTGATACAAACCTGCACTTT